TTACTTACGTTACGCTTGAGTAAACTTCTTTGCTGAACACACGTGTCACGAGAGTTTCTCTGAGACGAACGGGGTAAACTTTACACAGGAGACGAGGCTCTCCTATGTCCTCCGTTGCCAGGTTTTTAATTGTCCCTGATGGTCCAGGAAACGACTTGCCGGCAATGAGCAGTCCTCGCTCCAAGCTGCTCCCCCCCTCCTGCCAGAATGGCAGAACCGCAGCGATTAAATCCTACGCGCTAAAAAATGATTCCGAGGATTCTAACAATACGCTTTAATTAAAACCTGAAATTTCAGCTTGATTGGCTTGTACTAGTCACTGCCCACTGTAAAACCATAGCTTTTGGAGAAGGGTGTACATCTTCCTGCCCTCTTTGGAACATCCCCCAGAAGAAACTTGTTCTTCTTAATTAACAATTGTCAAGGATGATTTCTTTCTATAGTTAGGAAAAGGGAAACTTGAAACATCATCTCCACTAAGAAAATCCCACTGCTTCCCTAATGAGCTGCCACCTTGAGTCCCCCCAGTTATCCAGAATAGCTGCATTGAGTGACAGCCCCCTAAGCAAGATGCCCACCAGAGTTTCTTTCAGAAGGATAGAAATATCCCCTCATTCAAAAAGCCATTCATTGCTGCTCAGAGTCAAGCTCCTGCCATGTCCCAAGAAGCCTTAACTAATCATGAGGAATTCAGATAGAAAGTGCTGGAGCTAACACTACAGAGAACCCTACCCACTTCCTTGGAAGTCACTAACTCAGTTGATCTCGGATCACTTCACAAGAAGAAGCCCCATTCATCTGTATTGGCACTAATTATAATCCAACTCCATTCGAATCTGAGCAGTTTTATCTGCTAAATGCTGGAAGAATTCTTCCAACTACTCTTCAGACATTCTTGGTGATTATTTTTTCCTAAAAGGGAATCAGTTGCCTTAAAAAAGAACACTGGATGGCATTCAACAGATTTAGTAAGGACAGCAAAATATTTCCTTTTTGTTCCTTGTATCACCACTGCATGAGTTTGAACATGAGTTCTTAACAGTGTCCAGTTAGGCTTGAGATGGATCTTCCTTAGCCACATTCTAAGTGTCTCCTCTGCTATTTCATCTGCCTGAGCTCCTCACTAAACCAAGAATCTGTAGTGGATCTACAAGAAGGGAGAGGACACTCCAGTGCATTCTAGTCCAGTACCAAACTGCCACATTATTCCATTGGATGACTGGGATCTCAATTGAACTCCCCACCACATCTTCAAGAAGCTCCATGAGCATCCTCTGAAAATCATTCGGATCCATTAGGTGCCTGGGGCAGGCCAATCTAATAGGTCCCTCCCCACTGCGGGAGCGGGGGGGGGGGGGGGGGG